ATTCAAATCTCGACACTGATTTTTTGGTCGAAATTCATGTCCAAATCTTACCCCAAGATTCGTATATAGACATAGGTCAAAAATTACCACCCCCATATCTCGGCCAAATCTCATCCGATTTTCACAAAGTTTGGCTTTTTCTTCATGGTTTTCCCTCCAGATTAATCTGGCATTCAAATCTAAACATCGATTTTTTTATTCGAAATTCATGTCCAAATATTAGCCCAAGATTCGTATATAGACATGGGTCAAAAATTACCACGCCCATAAATCGGTCAAATCTCATCCGATTTTCACGAGGTGTGGCTTTTTCTTCATGGTTTTCCCTCTAGATTTATCTTGCATTCAAATCTCGACACTGATTTTTTGGTCGAAATTCATGTCCAAATCTTACCCCAAGATTCGTATATAGACATGGGTCAAAAATTACCACCCCCATAACTCGGTCAAATCTAATCCGATTTTCACGAAGTTTGGCGTTTTCTTCATGGTTTTCCCTCTAGATTAATCTTGCATTCAAATCTCGACACCGATTTTTTGGTCGAAATTCATGTCCAAATATTAGCCCAAGATTCGTATATAGACATGGGTCAAAAATTACCACGCCCATAAATCGGTCAAATCTCATCCGATTTTCACGAAGTTTGGCGTTCTCTTCATGGTTTTCCCCCTAGATTAATCTTGCATTCAAATCTCGACACCGATTTTTTGGTCGAAATTCATGTCCAAATCTTACCCCAAGATTCGTATATAGACATGGGTCAAAAATTACCACCCCCATAACTCGGTCAAATCTCATCCGATTTTCACGCAGTTTGGCGTTCTCTTCATGGTTTTCCCCCTAGATTAATCTTGCATTCAAATCTCGACACCGATTTTTTGGTCGAAATTCATGTCCAAATCTTACCCCAAGATTCGTATATAGACATGGGTCAAAAATTACCACCCCCATAACTCGGTCAAATCTCATCCGATTTTCACGAGGTGTGGCTTTTTCTTCATGGTTTTTCCTCTAGATTAATCTTGCATTCAAATCTCGACATCGATTTTTTGGTCGAAATTCATGTCCAAATCTTACCCCAAGATTCGTATATAGACATGGGTCAAAAATTACCACCCCCATAACTCGGTCAAATCTCATCCGATTTTCACCAAGTTTGGCTTTTTCTTCATGGTTTTCCCTCTAGATTTATCTTGCATTCAAATCTCGACACCGATTTTTTGGTCGAAATTCATGTCCAAATCTTACCCCAAGATTCGTATATAGACATAGGTCAAAAATTACCACCCCCATAACTTGGTCAAATCTCATCCGATTTTCACGAGGTGTGGCTTTTTCTTCATGGTTTTCCCTCTAGATTAATGTGGCATTCAAATCTCGACACCGATTTTTTGGTCGAAATTCATGTCCAAATCTTACCCTAAGATTCGTATATAGACATGGGTCAAAATTTACCACCCCCATATCTCGGCCAAATCTCATCCGATTTTCACAAAGTTTGGCTTTTTCTTCATGGTTTTCCCTCCAGATTAATCTGGCATTCAAATCTAAACATCGATTTTTTTATTCGAAATTCATGTCCAAATATTAGCCCAAGATTCGTATATAGACATGGGTCAAAAATTACCACCCCCATAACTCGGTCAAATCCCATCCGATTTTCACGAAGTTTGGCTTTTTCTTCATGGTTTTCCCTCTAGATTAATCTTTTATTCAAATCTCGACACCGATTTTTTGGTCGAAATTCATGTCCAAATCTTACCCCTAGATTCGTGTATAGACATGGGTCAAAAATTACCACCCCCATAACTCGGTCAAATCTAATCCGATTTTCACGAAGTTTGGCGTTTTCTTCATGGTTTTCCCTCTAGATTAATCTTGCATTCAAATCTCGACACCGATTTTTTGGTCGAAATTCATGTCCGAATCTTATATAGACATGGGTCAAAAATTACCACCCCCATAACTCGGGCAAATCTCATCCGATTTTCACGCAGTTTGGCGTTCTCTTCATGGTTTTCCCCCTAGATTAATCTTGCATTCAAATCTCGACACCGATTTTTTGGTCGAAATTCATGTCCAAATCTTACCCCAAGATTCGTATATAGACATGGGTGAAAAATTACCACCCCCATGACTCGGTCAAATCTCATCCGATTTTCACGAGGTATGGCTTTTTCTTCATGGTTTTTCCTCTAGATTAATCTTGCATTCAAATCTCGACACCGATTTTTTGGTCGAAATTCATGTCCAAATCTTACCCCAAGATTCGTATATAGACATAGGTCAAAAATTACCACCCCCATAACTCGGTCAAATCTCATCCGATTTTCACGAGGTGTGGCTTTTTCTTCATGGTTTTTCCTCTAGATTAATCTTGCATTCAAATCTCGACACCGATTTTTTGGTCGAAATTCAGGTCCAAATCTTACCCCAAGATTCGTATATAGACATGGGTCAAAATTTACCACCCCCATATCTCGGCCAAATCTCATCCGATTTTCACAAAGTTTACCTTTTTCTTCATGGTTTTCCCTCCAGATTAATCTGGCATTCAAATCTAAACATCGATTTTTTTATTCGAAATTAATGTCCAAATATTAGCCCAAGATTCGTATATAGACATGGGTCAAAAATAACCACCCCCATAACTCGGTCAAATCCCATCCGATTTTCACGAAGTTTGGCGTTTTCTTCATGGTTTCCCTTCTAGATTAATCTTGCATTCAAATCTCGACACCGATTTTTTGGTCGAAATTTATGTCCAAATCTTACCCCAAGATTCGTATATAGACATGGGTCAAAAATTACCACCCCCATAACTCGGTCAAATCTCATCCGATTTTCACGAGGTGTGGCTTTTTCTTCATGGTTTTCCCTCTTGATTAATGTGGCATTCAAATCTCGACACCGATTTTTTGGTGGAAATTCATGTCCAAATCTTACCCCAACATTCGTATATAGACATGGGTCAAAATTTACCACCCCCATATCTCGGCCAAATCTCATCAGATTTTCACGAGGTGTGGCTTTTTCTTCATGGTTTTCCCCCTTGTTTTATCTTGCATTCAAATCTCTACACCGATTTTTTGGTCGAAATTCATGACCAAATCTTACCCCTAGATTCGTATACAGACATGGGTCAAAAATTACCACCCCCATAACTCGGTCAAATCTCATCCGATTTTCACGAAGTTTGGCTTTTTATACCCTGAACCCATTAAAACTGGGTATAAGGGTATATTGTATTTGTGCGAAAGCCAAATGTATGTAACAGGCAGAAGGAAGCAACTCCGACCCCATAAAGTATATATATTCTTGATCAGCATAAATAACTGAGTCGATCTAGCCATGTCCGTCTGTCTGTCTGTCCGTCCGTACGTCCGTCCGTCCGTATGTATGAACGCAAGGATCTCAGAACCTATAGGAGCTAGAGACTTGAAATTTAGATGTAGATGCTCCTAGCTCCCGCGCAGATCGAGTTTTTTTCCGATAATCGATAACTTACTCCGTTTCCAAGCAATCGATAAAAATCGATATCGATATACTGTTTTTTGGGCAATTTTGGTAAATAATAAGAACTAGAGTCACCAAACTTGACATATAGCTTCTAAAATAAAGTAAAATACTTAATCATGGTAACCCAAACTAAATACGTTTTAGTTAAGACATCTATGGCCTAGTTACAAGCTAGCGGATAAACGCAGGCAGGCTTAGATCAGAAACTAAGACCTATTACATTTTAAAGAGTGTCTCATCGAAACTACCTATTTAAGACAGAAATAATATTTGAACAGTGTGAATTTAGCTTTAAGTAGGTTTAAAAAAGTGCCTCTAATATTTTGCCTCTACCACCTCTCCATTTACCGACTGTAACTGGAGCTGCGCCTTAACACAACTTACTAAAAAGGTACAATCATAATAATATAGCATAACAGAAAATAACAAGCGATAACGATAGCATGATATAAAGTAAAATAATAATATATCTAAACTGCCATAACGTAATATAACAAAAAAATAACCGAATATATCATAATTATCCAGCAGATAACACTTAACATGTTATATAACATAACCGATGTTTTAATGTGCATAGGTCGAAACAATTAATCGTAATCGATCCCGAATAATCCCAAACAAATTCATAACCTCTTGACACTTTAATCAAAGTTATTCGGCTGCAGGTATTACCATTCATTTATGGGCTATTCCCGACCACAAGACGTTAATTCGACACACATCAACTGGCATAGTTGGCAGCATGGAACATCATGCAATCGCCATTAGCCAGTTTGGGTAAAATTACAGCCCCGGGCAAATATATTGCCGGCTGATCAGAGCTCTGCGCGTAGAATTGAATCTCATTGCCGTAATCGCTGCCCGTAGCGTAGAACTCCATTTTGCAGGGTGCAGCAACGTGTAGCCAATCGATAGGCAGATTCGGTTGGCTCTCAATCTGCAGTGCGACCCGTCTGGAGCCTCGGGAACAGCAGTCGCGAATTAACAGAAGCCAGTCGGACCATTTGTCAGCCACGGGCGGACAGCCGCCAGCAGCGAGGTCTCTGCTAGCAGAATGAGGCTGCGTCAGAGCGAAACTGACCATTGTAAAATGCAGTAATATTTTCGCAGTAGTTGCTAATAACTGATTAGTTTGCTATATAGCGTATATGATACCCGGGCCTTGGTGATATGATAAGCAAGTTTCAGCTTTGCATAAGCAAAAGATAAGAACGATAAGAATGGCGATAATGACTATAAGCTATCTTAATTTGAAGGAAGCCCAATTCAAACAAGGCACAATCATTTATATGGAAAATTATTCATGGATATTTTAAATATGGCTCTGAGTCATCAAAGCAAAGTATTGCTTAAAATTGTTGATAAGCAATTCATTTTCATCAACACATATCAGATGCTGTTAAGAAAATATGTATGTATTAGTTTTTTTTTTTTTAATGAGTTTCTACCCTTCCCTCCATACAATCATATTATCATACTTTAGTTTTTACTTCAGTTACCAACTTTTCACATTACCCTTACATGTGTTAGATTCTAGAAAAATGCATTTTTAACCTTCAATGAACAAATTATTTTTTTATTTACACCACCACCTGAGCCATTTCAAAGGACTCGGGCTTGAGGCAAACGCGGGTAGACCGATTTTGTGACTGCTGCTCGCAGACAGAAACAGCCCAGTTGGAGCAGTTTCTGATCGCTAGGCGATAATTTCCAACGCCCAATCCGCTGTAGGTTCCAGTTAGCATCAGGCAGTCGCCGTCAGATGGTCGGGGCTGGCCCGTGGCCCAGGGCAAATAGCGGGACTGTTCGCCAGTGTTTTGCCAAAAGTAGATGCCCTTTTGGCCCAGACTGTTGCCCGAGGTCCACAGCTCCAGCTGGTTTGCCAGAGACGTATTAAGCCACTTGTTGATCAACTGCAGCTGCGTATCATTCTTCAGGCTGAGCAGTCCGGCGCCCTTGGTGTGACAGTAGCGGTCTGCCTCGTACCAGTTCAACCAACTGTTGACAGCCAACAGGCACTGGTCGCCCACCTCAGTGAAGTTCTTGGCACACTTGGATGTAGCTGTTTGGCTGCTGGCAGAGTGCAGCTGGGTCAGCGCCAGGGCGAGCACTGCGCAGGCAATTAATTGATGCCACAACATGTTTGGAGTATAAAGAAATCAATACTAACTAACTATTCTGTTGGACTTGGTGCTTATATAGTCGCTGTCCAGTTTAGACTGAGGGTCGCCTATCTAACGCTTATCACTTGGGCGAAATGATAAGCTTTGATTGACCAGAGTCGAAAATAGATGAATTAACTATAAATTTCGCTTATCTTTACAAAGGAATCCCAAGCAACTTTCCAAGAATAAACCGATGAATCAGTTAATAATTAACAATAAGTCTAAGGGAGAGGCACTCTAATGAGCAATATTTATTTTGGCGTTGCTTAGCAGATAGCCAATAAGTCAAATGAAATAAGCTTGTTACTTAATATCAAGTGTTTAATAGAGGAATTTATTTGAAATCGGAAATCAAATAGTTTTAAAACTGCGCAATTAAGACTCTGAAGATTGCAAAAACTAGGAAAATGGGAACTGAATAGAATCCACCGAAAATAGACATACATAAAGATTTCTCCTCAACACTCTGGAATTGCGAACCTCAAAATTCGTCTCACGTAGTTGCTTCGCAAATTCCATAGTCAAAGATACCCCGCAATTATAGGCTTCTCCTAAGTCAGATCATAGAACCTTTTAATTAATTGACAACAACTTGCGCCGTATCAAAGGCAGTTGGCTTCAGGCAAACTCGCGTCTCAAAGGCGCGTGGCTCCTGTTCGCAAATGTAGGGCGCCAGCGTAGAGCAATTCTCGACCGCTAGTCGGTAGTCAAGTACTAGCAAACTGTGGTCAGCCAAGAGAAGCAGACAATCGCCATTTGCAGCTTGAGGCTGACCCGTGCTCCAGGGCAGATAGCTCGCCAGCTTGCCCGTGCTCTGCCAGTAGTAAGCACCCTTGTTGCTCAGATTGTTGCCCGAGGTCCAGACATCGCTGCGATACTCATTCAGCCAATTGTTTATCTGCTCCAGCTGTGAGTCGTTATCCAGGGTAAGTAGTCTGGCGCCCTTGGAGCGACAGTTGCGATACGCCTCGAACCAGTTTTGTGCATTGCTCTCATGTAGCACACACTTGTCGCCCACCTGGGTGAACTCCGTGTCACAGCTGGCCGCAACGGACTGACTGCTAACTACAACTAAATGCAGCTTGATCAAAGCCAGGCTGAGAATAGTAAATGCGGCTAACTGATGACACAACATTTTTGGAGTGTGTAGAGACAAAAACTCACTAAATGTGGGGTTGGATGCGCTATTTATATAGTCGCGGATCAATTGTGATTGGCGATCGCAAATTCTTAGATTTATATTGTTGACACTATGATAAGTTGATTAAGGCACTTATTTTTAACATCTACATGACCTTATCAGTTTGATATAATCATAATTTTGCGATAAATAAGCTTACAGCATACAATTAGTAGAACGCGGTAACCATTAAAGTTTAAGATTGTTTTCAATTTATGAGGTTTACTTTGAATTTTTCTATCAAAACTACAGTTTTTATTGGATACTTAAATCTTAACCTAGTTTCACAAGAATGGCAAACCCACTGGAAAACTGTAATAAATATAGATCTTCCCAATTCGCCACGCCCCCATTGGCCATAGCCACCTAATCTGAACGTCGTATTGGAGGGTATTCACAATTATAGATTCAAAATATCAAGCCTCTTACTTCAACATACGGATAGCTGGACTGATATGTACACTCTTTTCAATTTGTGAATGCTTTGACTAAAACAACACTCATGATCTTTAATGTTTTTTTTTCGGGCGAATATCAATTATGAAAAGCCACCCACAGCATTTGGTATTGGCTGCTAACCTTTTGAACCGTATTCACTTCGACTGACTGATTGGGCGACAAGGTATTGAAGCCAACAATGATTCAATGATAAATGAATGTGGCTGTGTGTGGCAAGAAAATGCGGGGCAACTGTGACTGCCGCGCGTCACTTGCATTATAGATGAGTCTGTGAAATTAGGAGAAGCTCTGTTGGGAGTTTGCCTGCTGGGCCGACAAGCAATTTTATTTATTTGTTTTCAATCTGTTTGCTTGTTTGCCAGTTGGTTTGCTAATGTTTACACGAGCAAACAACTCCTCCCGCCAAAAGCTCTCAGCCGTTGTCTGTCAATGTGGCACCACCACCAACATCAACAACAACGATGAGAACAACAACAGCAGCACCTTCACCACCTCCGCCACCCCCTACAGCACCGCCAACATCTACAGCCAGCCGCAGTTGTCAATCGACAAATTGTGTCAATATTTGCTGGCAGTGACGTTGAGCTAAGTAGAGATTTAATTTCCTCACACACGCGCACATACACACATACCTGGCAGTTAGTAAGAACAAAGACGTCCGGAACTGCACTTAACTCTAGAAAACGAACGTAAATTTTGATTACACAGTCTGTAAATCTAGCTAAGGTTCCGCATATAGCCTAGTTCTAAAAATAATGTTCGAGATAAAGCGACATTCTGCAAACATTCCTAAATAGCCCGAACTAATTACAACTTAATATTAAGCATACGCCAGGTGTTACGGCTCGAACTGATTTTCTTTTCTAGGAAATTGGGCTAAGCACAAAAAGCTTGTACACTGAGAGAAAGCGCAGCTGAAGTAATTTCAATTTATTTTTAATTTTAATTTAATAGTTTGTTACGTTTTCAATTTAAGTGGAGAATTTCTTAAATGAAGAAGGCTTTGATAGTTGATATACATTTTGTAATTGAACAATGTTCTTTATTTAAGATATTCTTATTTGAATTCAAAAGAATCAGTATTGATTGCAATTTTTATCATTTTGCCTAATTCAAGTACAAAAAGCTTGGGGTTTTCTCTGAGTGTATGCGCATAATGAAATTTATGCAGAATAAAACGCTGATTGGGTCTGAAGCCGCAGCGATTAGCTGGAGGGGCCGCTGGCCAATGGCCATTTGTATGCGGCAAGCGTTTCGATTTGCGTGTAATCCACAGCACAAACAAGCATGCATATATAATAAGCATATCTATATGTATACAGATATATATGTATAGATTGAGATATAAATCGAATACTATTGCCATTCGTAGCCAAGCTGGACGGAGTTAAGACGTACATGCGCATGCGGCGTGTGCCGAATCATCTGCAGGTGAAGGTCATCAAATGGTTCGATTACCTGTGGCTCACGCAAAAGTGCTCGGACGAGGAGCGCGCCGTATCCTGTCTTCCTGATAAATTAAAGGTAAATAATCCGCACCGTACACAAAACAGATGCTCCAACCAACTGCTGTGGCAACATGAATTGTCCATTTTCTGTAGCATGTTATCCTGCTACTGGTTACGCCCTTTGTCCTTAATTCCAAAACAGACCCAACCGCTCAACTGTGTCTCTGTTTTCTGTTCTTTTCTGTTTTCCAGGCTGAAATAGCAATTAACGTCCATTTAGATACACTTAAGCGGGTTGAGATTTTTCAAAACACTGAAGCGGGTTTCCTTTGCGAATTGGTGCTGAGACTGCGGCCCGTGCTCTTCTCCCCGGGCGACTACATTTGCCGGAAAGGTGAGTGACCAGAGAGACGTTCAGCTTATGCTTCTATATAAATGCACTTACATATATCTACACTATATATATGTATATATATCTATATATATATATATATATATCATTTGAGAAACCACCCTAACTTACTCACTTCGCTTTCTCTCTCACACTTTCTCTTTCACTCTCGCAGGCGAGGTGGGCAAGGAGATGTACATTGTGAATCGTGGACGATTGCAGGTCGTTGCTGACAATGGCAAAACGGTGATGGCCTCGTTAAAGGCAGGTTCCTATTTCGGCGAGATTAGTATACTGAATATGGGCACCGCAGGTAAAGAACTTGGTAAATATCCCGTTTTAGTGCGACAGGCGGAACAATAACAATAACAACAAATTAATGTAACTACAACAACAACAACAACAGCAACAACAACCAATCCAAATGATTAAAACAAAACACAACACAAGTTTTTAATAAAATTCTCCAAATATTTTTTAGCTATGTATTTTATACGTGTCTATAGAAAGTACATTTTGCAAAAGAAGTCCTTAAAGAGTATTCCACTGCACATTAACTTAGGCAACGCTCATGTTGCATTTCATTTAGCAGCACAACTACCTTATCTGGTTTAAGCTCCTTTTCCTCCACCCGGACACCCTCATACCCCCACTCATCCACAATCACACACACATTTTTGTCTGTGTTTTTTCGCACACATTTATTTATTATTTTTACAATTTCGTTGCAATATTTAATAGAGCAGACATCAGCCAGGCGCACTCGTAATCGTTTAAATTCCATCAATTGATTAAAATATACAAAAATACAATTGATGTAATTTAATTTATTTATGCTTACATTTATTGAAGCACTACAATTGCTTATAATGCGCTTGCGGCGGGTATCATTAATGTGCCATTAAATGTGTTACACAATTTCGACTTATATTAGGTTTTAGCAGGTTATTATTTTAGCCGTTGGTTGTAAATTTATTGGACTGTATGCAGATATCGTATCGCTACAGTAGAACATATAGGTTACAAATGGAATGTTTTTGTATACAGCTTTTAAGTTTTTTAAGTGCGTTGATACCTTGATTTACTACTATATTATATAGCACGAAAAGAAAGATTCAGTTCACAAAATCTGAATTGTTATAGTCTATATCTGCCATATTTACTAGCAGTCGATAATTGAGTTCTTCTAAAAGCAACGCGTTTTTATTGAAAGGTATTACGACCAAGTTAACCAATTATGTGTGTTATTATTTTTAAGGCAAATTGATCAAAAATATACAAAATCATGCTTTTATATATCAAGCGTTAAGCCTTTAGCATTGGAACTTGCTTACGATAATGTAAATTTTGTGTTCTGAACAAAAGTTTATTATTTTTTTTGACCAGATCGGCTTTACATATATAGTTTAGTGTATTTATAGTTCGGCAACATGAAGTTAACTATTGTTTCCTGTTTTTTATTGTTTGTTTTTTGCTGTTTTTCACTGGCAGCTGCAAAACGCACGTAACAATTTTTTTGCTCTTTTGCATATTTTTGCATTTTTCTGCCAAAAAATTGTTTTAATGCCCGTCCTAAAAGTATGCAATGCTCTTTTATAGCACACAAACACACACACATGCATAAAAACAAGTTTATTTGCCCTGTTCTCTCACCCTGTTTACCCCCCGCTCACTCACTGGCTTTGCCCTGGCGCTGAGCACAATTAATGAATGCCAAATGCAATTATTACACCTGCATGCACACCGTTTTATTTACCTACATATATAAATGGATATATATATATGTGTATATATATACACACATATGTACAGTACATTTTGCACAATTAAACAATGCAATAAACTACAGATAAATTGGCTTAAATCAGCAATAATAATGTGCAATTTATTGTTACTGTCAAAGTAAATTTTGGTTTTTATTTTCAGTTGATATTGAAAGGCAGCTTAAAGCGATGCTACTTGATTTTAGCTAAACGCAACTCAACTCAACTGAACTCGACTGTAAATTACTGCGATAAATCACGTACACATACCTTTTATATACATATATATATTCCTATATATAGTGTTCTCATGTGTGACACATAATTAACAACAATGCCAAAATTTATCTTAGCGCATCCCATGCTCGCATATAGTGTGTGTTCATGTGGGACACTACATGCTGCAGTGGCGCTTCACTTGCAGCCGCTTAATTCAATTTACAACAGGAGCAGCAACAACAACTTAATTCTATTAGCAAGGGCTGACAAAAGTTGCCGTTTGCCGTTGCCACAAAACTTTTGCCTCGTCTGGCTCAATTAGTCGTTGACTTTGTCAGACAATTGGCCAAGTTGCTGTCAAGCTGTTGTCACCTCAAGCGAATTGCTGCTATTGTTGCTGCTGCTGCTGCTGCAAACTTGGACACACAAATCAATAAAATCGAAGCATTTCGTTTATCATTTAAATTGTTTATTGTTCATTCTTTTATGCACTTGCATGATTTAAGCACTTTCATTACCAACGAAAACACAATCCAATTAGTATGTCCCTTAAGTAGTTTTAAGCGTGAGCAACTGACAATTTCAAATATCTATTAATTTCTTTTTCTAATCAGCTCTACTTTCTCTATAACTCTCGCCCTGTCTCTGTATCTCTCTCTCTCTCTCTCTCTCCCTCTATATTTATAACTGTCTCTCTGTGAATCGTTGTTGTATTGCTTTGCCTGGCCGTAATTTAAACGTTTGAATTGTTTTTGACAGTGTTAAAATTAAGTATATGTTACCTTGTTGCCACAATTTACATACATTTCGATATTCCACACACACACACAAATACGCGAAGGCATTTAAATTGCACGCCAACTTAAACTCCAATAAATAGATAACATCATTTGCTACAATTTAGGCTGCATATCTTAGGGACTTTTCGTTAGAATGTATCAAGCAATCAATTTTGTTACATTTTCGCAACAATATTGCATTTTCTTAAGTTTATATGCTGCTGTAAGCTGATAAGAATTTCCAAATTTGACAAGCTTTCAGGTTGCATTTTGCTATCTCATGCTCAATGTCAAGTTTGGCAACGCGGAATTAATAGTGTTGTATAAATTCTTGAAATTCCTTATTCAACAATTTCTTATCCAGCTTGCCGAAGACTTTCTGTCAACTAAGCATATCATAAATCAGTCATAAAGCTATGTAAGACAAGGTGGCAACGCTCTACCTTGTAAATATTTAATAGCTGATTTGTCTAGCTGGTAAGTTAAGCCAGGTTGTTCCGTCCACAAAAACTTGTGAGAAGAGCATGAAATTTGACAATAAGTTAAAGTAAATCTTACCCTTAGCTGGAATAGGCCTGCGTAAACGATTAAAAACAAATGTTATGCTAATTGCCAACAAGTTAAATTGAAATGTTGAAATGGCAACTCAGCGACTCAGCAACCAACCAACTTTCAACGGCTCAACTAGCTGCAATCTGGCAGCTCGCAAAAGTATGCAATGAAATATTTAAGCACAATTTGAGCTGTTGGTCTGAGTAAACTGTTGCTGTTATAGCAGCCAGTGCTTGATTGTAGCAAAAGGATGCCCGAACAAAAGCGACAGACAGAAAAACAGACAGACGTACATAACATATCTTTGTAGCTATATGTAGCACTTGGGCATCCAATAAATTGCCCTGTGAAATTGTCAGCCCAATTTCCCAACTTCCAATTTCCAATTGCAACAAGTCCCCCAACCCTGTATAGCTCGCAACCAATTGCCTGCATACCTTCAGTTGGCATGCAATATTAATGTGTGTGTGTGTGTGTACGAATGTGTTTGTTTGTTTGTGTGCAGACAACAATAAGAACAACAGACTACACCCACAACAACAACAACAAGAACAAGAGCAACGAGAAATACCTTTGGCAAGTTATTGATATTAAACTTTATGCCTCATTCCCTTCATTGCTGCAAACGTGCAACATCGCCACATTTGCCAACTTGCCACACTGTGCTACTTGTGCAGGCAACAGACGGACCGCCAGCGTTCGCTCCGTGGGCTACAGCGATCTGTTCGTGCTGAGCAAAAAGGACATGTGGGACGTGCTTAAGGAGTATCCGGCGGCGCGTGTTCGCTTGGAGTCGATAGCCGTCAAGCGTTTGGAGAAATACAAGAAGGCGCCACTGGAGAAAGGTATGTTGTAAAGCAGCTCATAAACTTCTTTATATAGTTATACCTCGCACACAGCCGCCCAGCACACATCCACACACACACACACTCGAAATTAAGCCCAAAAGCAGGGTATGTGCATACACTCAGAGAAAAACACAAACTCAAATGTTGTTGATAATCAAATTCGTATTTTAACTATTCTGAAAACCGAAACTATTAATTTCAAGTACGCAAAGCCGTGTAATAAGTATTTTGTACTTATTTCAAGCTTTTTTCTAACACACTGCGTTTTTCTCCGAGTGTACGAATTTGAATGCAAATACGATTGCCCCCCTTGAAATAACACAAATCGATTGTTTTGCTTTCCGTTTGTTTTTCCCCCTCACTTGTTTTTTCTGTGATCGTTTTTGATTTTAAAACACAGTCAAATACTTTAATGTAGTTGCCATGGGCCGCTGCCAGTCAACGCCGGGCCTGGTGGAGAGCTGCGGCCGCACCACGCTGGAGGATATGTGGCTGCCGCCGGCCTCAGTCAACATGCTGCATCAGGTGCAGCATCATCAGGTGCAGCAGCAACAGCAGCAGCAGCTGCAACTGCAGCAGCAACAGGCACAACAGCAGCAACATCACCAGCAGCTGCCGCATACGCATGGCTACAGGTGAGTCTTGGCTTCTGCTCGCTGCGCTTCCCCCGACTAAATGCTTGCAGTCCACGCAGCTATACGGAGCATTTGGTGCGTGCCACGGACTCGCCACGTTCGGTCAGTCCCAGCGCACATGGCTCTGAGGAGCGGCCGCGCAGTCGCGCCACCTCGCACCACTCAATGCGACCGCAATCTCAGCCCAGTCACACAGGTGAGCTCACATTCTCCCCCCTCTCTTCCTCTCTCTCTCTCTCGGTCTTTAAATAAAACCTATGCCACTCTAACATGCCCACCCTCTCGCCCCGTCTCTCGTTTTTTTTCTAACTGTTTAGGTCACATTTGCGACTCGAGCTCACAGCTGGAGTGCTATGGCGCTGGCGTTGGAGGTGTTGGTGGCGGCACCACACCGCTGCTCGGCTCTCATGAGGCTCTGGAGGATGAGATCAAGCGTTTGAGAGAACGCCTGCATACAGTTGAATCGGAGAATCAGGCTCTTAATACGAAACTCTCGCAGCAGCAATGGGATTTGGAGAATCGTCTAGCAGAGATTGAAATGCAAATCTGCGGCGTTTCGTCCACGTCCAGCGTGGATCCAGATAATGAGGCCGAGGAGCTGGAACGGAATCGCGAGAGTATCATATAACACGGGAGCGTGCTGCCCCATCAGCATCAGCCGATCGGTATGGTGTACATATCATGTTCCTCATGACTCCATGATTCATTCGACATTCGACAAAAATCCAACCAAAACCAAAAAACTAAATAATCAAATGGGCGTGGTCGTGGCCGTGCCGCCCACAACGAATGCGAAAGCAACGCCTCATAAACATTTGCATCATACTCTCTCTCTCTCTCTCTCTCTTTCTCTCTCTGTGTGTTAAACTCTCTATGTGTCTCGCTGTGTGTGTGCCGCGCCCCGCTCCAAACATGTTTGTACATGTCTTTCATACGCTCGCTCCCTCTATCTATGTGTGTGTCTGTGTGTTTGTGTGTGTGTGTGTGATTGTTGTGCATGCGGTTGAAATATTGCCAAATTGACAAATTGCCTTACTAACTGAATGACCCCGACGCGAACAGGAGCAGCAGCTGCTAGCACAAGCAACAGCACGGCGGGGGAGACGGAGCTGCAACAGGAGCTGCAACAGCCAAAGCCACAGGTACAGCTGCAGCCACAGCGACAGCGACAGCAAACTGGCCAAATCTTGCGGCGCATGCAACGCGCCAGCAACAATGCAACACAAACAACAACAGCAACAACAACACACAACAACAACAACCACAAGAATGCCAAATATTGCTCGCTGTAGGACCACAGAGAAACGAGAAAGGTGAAACCATAAATGAGAGACAAGCAAATCGCAAGTAAGATACATGAGTATAAAAGTTAATGAGTATTGTTTTCAGTGTAGGCAGAGCTAAGTGAATAGGCTAGTGTTAGGAACGCATGTGGTTTGTGCTAGGATCCACCATTCACCCACTAAATGGCACTGCCAGAATTGTTTAGACAACTGCAACAACCGCTCTGAGGTTGGCATAGGTCAAAGCAATATGTACATAAAGCTAATAAAAAAATGATGAAGACAAATGAATGAATAAACCCATTTACTAGTTTTGTTTGCATCTTTCAAATTCCAAAAAGAAAACCAAGGAAGTTATAGTTAAGTTAAGACTTGTGAAAAACTTTTTAAAAACTAAGCCAATATATTTGCAAAGTATCTATTTAAGTAAATACCTATATCGGAAAAGCTTTAATAGATATTCCGAATTACAGAAACTCCAAACAGAAAACTCAACTCAGCTCATATAAACCGTTGTTTGACAGCTCTAGCTGTCACTCTCGCTCTATACAAATATATACCTACAACTTTTTGCCATGCTACCATTTTCATAAACATATATGTATACATGCAAATATATATATACATATATATATATAGCTAGGTGTGTAGGTAGCATCATTAGAGTTTAGTATTTTCGCTAATTTTATTTAAATGATTACAAATTACACTCTCATTATTAATCCATATACAACTACGCGCATTGTAAATATTTTCTATCTAAGGATTCAATTAGAAAATATCAAAAATTAAAATGATTATCTAACAAAAATACAAAAAAAAAAGAAAAAAAAAAGTAACAAAAACACAAACACAAACAAACCGGTATTTACTCTAATAATAATTTAATTTAAATTGAACTAACTAATAATAATGTAATAATGAACAATTAGCGTATTGTAATATTTGCTAAATGTAATTGTAATTTGACAAAATTTACTAGATGTGTATATGGGAAACGATTTACTTTAAAATTGAAAATAATATTCAATACAGAAAAAAGGAAAAACTAAACAAATTTATGATAAAACTAAACAAAAGATATTTGCAAAATATTTGTACTATTGGAAAAGAACTGCCACAGCATACAACAGACACTAAAACTAAACTGAAATACAAACTAAACCAAGAAAAAAAATATTAAAAAAAAACATTATACACACAAAATACATACAAAATCGAAACGAAAAACCAAAACCAATAATTGGGTAGAAAAAAGCAAGAAAATGGTAAAAAAAAAAAAAAAAAACAACTGTCAAACAACTTTTAATGCAATATTATATTGTGCTACTATATTAGTATATTGTATGTAATATGGCATTGGGTATGTTGATATATATGCTATGGATACTCTCAACTGAAAGATCTAAATGTATTGTAATGTTAGTTAGTTGCCAAGCGAAACGAATGCTGAAGTCACATTTGAGATAAGATTCAAAGATATAGTTGATGATGACGATGATGATGATCATGATGATGATGGATTCTAAACGCTGTAGAGTAAGTTCTGTAGCAGAACTCAGCGATGATTTTGGTAAACCCATAATATGGGAACGCACTGCAGGCTTAAGTGATCGAAGACCGAAGAATTTAGATATTAACTTTAGAAATAACAAAAAAAAAAGAAACTTAATTAGTTACCATTAGATGTGTACAAGGGAAGACCAAATAATATTTCAGAAATTGTTCTGTGTCAACACAAATACACACACACACACACATACACACACTCACTGACACACACACACACACTCATATACACACACATATATTCCACAAGTAATAATTACGAGTATATACGACAAAAAATTAAGCTATTTACTTAAGTGTATCAATGAGTATGCGATTAATTGACGATTGATTGATGATTGATTGATTGATTGATTGATTGATTGATTGATTGATTGATTGATTGATTGATTGATTGAATGTCTATAAGCCGCTAGTTAATGTGCTATTGTAGCTCCAGCTGCGAGCAAATCCCATATAGAAAGAAAAACCAACTATAACAAACTAATTCACTTCATGCTGATGATGGAAATTCCACGCACACAAACTCATTTTGTTAGCATTTTCTCTTAGATTTTTCATACTTTTTTCGGATAAAAACTAAAAAGACGCAATTCAAGCAACTACAATTTCATAATTCCTTTTCATAGTTTAAACCTAATTGTATTGTATTTCAAAACATTTTTGCAATTTATTATTATTATAAACGAAAGAAACATATATAAAAGAGAAGTTTATTCATTAATATGCCTACATTAAAAATTACAATAAACATAAAATGGGGTTTCATCTAAGACGAAAAATGATAATGAAAATGAGAAAAAAAAATATTGAAAACAAAAAGAAATTACGCTAAAAATTGTTGAAGGTTTTGATTTTTAGTTAGCCAAGTGTGAACAAAATAACGTTATTATTAGATAATTATAATTATACATTTTATTGCTTCTTAGCATGCTTAAACATAGCACCTAATGCAGAGAAGGCTTGAACTAGGGCCTGGAAGGATTTGGAGATGATCTCATTGAAGAAAACATCAGAGAATCTCGATATAGAAAAACTTCCTTTCCCGGTTGGCATCTACAAATGTTTGTTGGCATTTCTTTGGTTAGCTCAAGGCTTTCGTTATTCGATTTGTTAGGAAGAGTATATAGGAAAGAGGAAGAGAAGAAACTACATCGATTTGGTTGTGTTGTTGCTAATTGTAGAACAAATATGGGGAGTTGCGGAAGGTAGAGCCGTGGATTTGCCGTATGTTAAAGCTTACAGTTTGTGTAGGGCTTGAGAAATGTGCTAAATAATTTTATGAATTAATTTAAAGCATTGTACTATGAGAAAACCAACAACATTTATAGCTTTATTTTGTGACTATAAATTAATTAATTAATTATAAGATTATACAATAAATTAATTCAGCATGACTTCATTCACAAGTAAAAACAAAAAAATATATATATAAAAAAAAAAAACATAAGAGCAGCAGCAAAAAATGAAAGCAAAAAAATCGTATAAAAACAAATTAATGGCATTTTTTAAGATAATATTCAGAGCAGTCAGCGCCGATTTGCAGCAAGTGAATCGAGCTTATCTAATACACCTGTATACCCAAATACTTATGTACTTATGATTGTTCAGTTCGATCATAAACAAGAGCATTTTAAAGCCATGTTGTGCTTAGCCACAAAACAACACAAAACTGACAGCTACAGCGCAAGCAAAGGGTAACAAATATGACAAATTGATGAAAAAACGAACAACAAACACACAAAAAGGAAAAAAAAAACACTAAAAATACAAATAAAATCAAAACAAACAAAAAAAATTCTTGAGAAATGAAAGAAAACGCATTGTTTCCACTTATGAGGTGGGGCTTGGCGAAGGGTAAGACTTAAGTAAGGGGACAGCAGAGGGAGGGCGCCAGTAATAGCTCAAGCTGCGTTTTATAATCAATAACTTTTGAAATAAGCCGCAGCGACCCATACAAATTGTTCAATTATCAAGAGAAAAACCACAGAGTCATCGATAATTAACGTGCAGTCCATTAAAACTAACTGAAATAACAACTCCAGAATCGAAATGCGTTTCGTAAACGGAGCCACTAAACCACTCGCAACAACAACAACAACAACAACGTCAACAACAGCAACAGAGGGAACTTTAAGGCGAATGAAGAGCCCAAAACAAAAGCGCAACAAAGCTGGTAAGCAAAACAAGCCAAGATCGCAATGTGGAAACGATGACGTCTTCGGCTGGTTTCCAGCTAAAAGCTTTTTGCGGCTGGAAATGATCGCAACTGAAACTTGGCTTAAAGCGCGCTACGTAGTTCAGTCGTTGTGAGCAACTCGTGCGCGCTGGACGTGTTTTTTCGCCGAATCAAAGTAAAGCAAAAAAGGGGCACTGCCCCGCCCCGCCCCATTCGAGGCAAGTGCAAGAAGAGGCGAACAGCAACAAGTGCTAAACAAATAAAACACAAAAACAAAGATAAAAGATAATAAAATATGATATAAAAACCTAGCGAGAAATGCTATAAAAATAAATAACCGCCGCTTAACTTGGCCCCAACTAACTTTGATATAAAACTAACAATAACTGCTCAAGTGCACCGCGTAGCAACGCCCGCGCCCCTCTCCGATGCCATCCCTAGCTAACGCTCAAGCATAATTTAATATTTATGCATAAGTTAAGCGAGTAGTGTTTTGACTGCTTCGCTGTGTGCGTTGTTTTTAGCCAAGTTTGAAACACATTCTCAAAGTTATTATTCTCTGTGCCTGCCCGAGACGAGACAAGACGAGACACAGGCACAGCTGCTCGCATC